CTTTTTTCTCTTCATTTTCATGCATTGTCATCCAATTCTGAACTATGTGCCAAATTTGAAGTTTGTAGCTAGTCGGGAAGTTAGTTTAAAATCGATTACAAAATTCCACCCGGACAGACATACACGAAGGCAAGTTTATATAAACGTGGTAAAATAGCGTTTGGGAACACCTTATACCAAAGAATGGAAGAATAAATTTGTAGCTTGTAACAATTACTTTGTTTATTATATGTAATAATTGTACAAAATTTCTAAAAAATAGCTTAAATATTTATAAAGATATGGACATTTATACAAAAAAAAAACTAATTTCTTTGTCTTAATTTTTTGAAGAAATTTAAAATTAATTACAAAAATTTTGCTTTAAAAGTTGATTTTTTTTTTGTTGAAAAATGTGCAATATATAAGTAATTAAAGTAGTTCTTTTATGCTGCACATGTGAAGTAAAAATTTCAAATTTTTTTGTAGTGTTTGGAAACTACTGACAAAAATTCCGATTTGAAAATTTCAAGCAATTTTCCAAGTGGTTTTGATACTCTTTAAAAGAAAGCTCAAATAGAATGTCTTTTCCACAAATTTCACTTTGTAGTATTAAACAAAATTTATTAAATATGACACAGGCATTGTTGAGGATCACCCTCCATAAAAGTATCATTTTTTCTGCTTATTTTTTTTCCTAATACGATTATATTTCGATATTTATAAGATATAATCATTTGTTATTTAACTTAGACTTATGATACAAAATAATATTTGAAGAAAACTCCTTATCATTGAGAATTTCTTTTAAAAAGTACAAAAACTTAGAAAATTGCTTGAAATTGTTAAGATATTCAAATCAAAATTTTTTCAGTAGTTGCCAAATACAATTTACTACAAAATTTTGTTAAAAAATATATAAATTTTTTTTCTGCACATGCGAAGTATAAAAGATTTACTTTAATTGCTTATATATTATACAGTTTTCAATGATTATTTTCAACTTTTAAAGCAAAAATTTCATAATTAATTTTTAATTACTCTAAAAATTTTGTTTAATTTTATTGAATATTTTTAAAGTTACAACAAAAAAGTGTAAGACAAAATAAAATTTGTTTTTATAAGAAACTATTATTTTATTTAGTCTTACACTTTTTTGTGGAACTATGGACATTTTTATAAAAAATGTCCATATTTCCACAATTATTTCAGCTAGGCTTATGAAATTTTGCGCGATTATTGCCTGGAATAACCAAAAAAATTGTCATTATTGCTACATTTTTTGGTATAGGGTGTTCAACAACATTATTTTCCATTCGTAATTTATTGTCGGTCCATCAAACGTATGAAGGTCCAAACTTCATTGATTATGAGAAATCACATGATCTAAACACTTCTGAAGTTATAAAATGATTCTTTAAGTATTTCTTGATTAATATGAAAAAAATGCATTAGTATAGAAGTGTTACCAAAATCACGAGGAAACTTTCACTTACTTTATATACTGCTACAGCAAAAGGGTGAGGTACTTGTTCCTTGTTTCTAATAACATATTTCATATTTTTACCATCTAATGAAGCAGAAGCAATGTAATCTAATTTTGCATCAGTCCAAAATATTAAATCATCAGCAAGATCAACAGCAACACCATTCGGCCAAGTGACTATGCTACTATCAAATAACACAGTATAATGAGAACCATCTAAATATGAACGAGATATGGAGGGCCTCGTTTCACTCCAATCTGCTAAAAATAAGTATCTGAAAAAATATATAATTAATAATTATTTATACACAAATTGTTGATTTTGCTACTAGTTGTTTTGGTAAAATACAAAAATTAAAAAATATATGATTATGTCATATTTTGGACAATTTCTAGCATAAAAACTAATAAATAAAGAAAAATATTTATTTTTTTCCAATGCACTGAACTGTTTAGGTTGAAAAAAATTAGTTTAAATGTCTCATCTCTATACATAGGATGTCCTGAAACTCAAGCAAAAGGTAATTTTGATTGTAAACATAGATTTTAAATAAAAAAAGATGAAAATCACCTCTGGTATTACTAGAAATGTGTTAAATTTTTAATGAACAATTTATTTAAAAATGATCATATTCTTGTAGACAAGAGTGTACATTTTCATCTGTTAAGACATGGGTTGTTATTTCTTTTAACGTAAGTTTTTGACTCTAAAGGCCAAAGAAAAGGTCATAAGGCATTAAATAGCATAAACAAGGAATGACTCAACAATGCTCAAAATTTTATTTAACAATAAAATTACCTTACTCTTTTAAATAGTGTTTCTATTTTAACCCCTTCCGGTAAAATGATGAGAAGAGCTTGTTTTTAGTATGGTCAAGTTTTTAATCTTTTACAACAAATTACAATTATATTCAGATCATTAACATAATTTTAATTAACAATATGTAATAATTACAAAAAGAAACAAGTTTCATTTTAACAAAATTTAAATGTTTATTTCATGTACAATTTTTCATAACAAAAATCTAACCAGAAGAGGTAAATAACCCTATGCTAAAGCTGCTTTACAATGGTATAATTATATATTTACCCTTTAATAGGTTGGACAGCGATTCCTCTAGGTTTGTCAACATGGGTTCCATTGAGAATAGTTCTTCTCAGTTGTCTTGATGATGGATTAGCTTTTACAATTTCTACAGCTGATCTTTCTCTATCAGAAAAGTATATATTGTTGCTGATCCAATCTAAAGCTAATCCTTCAACAGATTTCATATTAGATTCAGCAATAACTTCATTTGCTTGATCAGGATGAGAACAACGCCGCTGTAAATATTTAGACATTTGAACTTAGCACTTTTGATAGTAATGATATAAAATAGCATACACAGTAGGTATACTATCAAAAGTAACTGAGTTAATAGATAGAAAAATGAGATAATGTGCTCAAATTTATTATATGCCAATTAATATTTTTGGGGAAAAAACAACTTAAATTAATACATATAGCTAATCATACACCTTATTATCACTTTGTTGGCCAGCAATTTTACGCAGAAAGTATGTCATAGGCTATTATTTTGCAATTGAATATGGAAACAAAATAAAATATTCTAAATAAACTCCAATAAATTTTATTTATGCTGAAAGAAATGAAATTAAACTTAGTAATATTGCATATTGCTGTTCTGGGTATCATGAATTGAAATAGATAATGCAAGTGCAAAAACGAGTTAACTTGTGTTAACATGGACCAATGATGTTTAAGTCTTCTATGTCAAAATCTGAAAAGCTATCAGTGCTTATTACTAGTTGGATCTACTGTATTACACATTTGACTAGGTCATTTTTAGCAATATACACATCTAATAGTTGTTAAATGAAAAAAAAAGTACTTTTGAAATATAGTTTGTGACTTATATTTACATATTTTGTATGAAATCAGTATCATAATAATAATACACAAATACATTTTACAAAATAAACTTGTAGAAAAAAGTCATAACAATAACAAAATGCAAATCAATACTTGATTTTACCTTTAAAATTTAATTGAACTTCAATACCTCAAAATTGAAGGCAGATAAAAAAATTCAAAATATCAAACATCACATTCAAATTATAAAATCACTTATTATAAAAAAAATTTATTCATTTATTTTTTTGGTGGGGGAGGACACAAAAAAAAAATCTAGTTCCATATTTACCATAGTAACAATTACCAAAATCAAACAGCAATAACGGATTGGCCAATTTTTTACGTCTTCCCATAAAGGAAAAGTACCAATGAAACCCAGATTTGACTGTATTTATTAAATGCGATAAATGTGTTTGATTTAGTGGAATAAAATAAACTCCAGAAAACATATAAGGAATAAAATGAAAAGATAACAATGCAACAAATATATATATACATACAAATATTTTTTCTTCATTAGTATCTTGCCAGTAAATGCAATGATTTCCATAATGATAATCAAGCGCAACAACATTGTGTACACTTTCTAAAGGAACCTCCATCAGGTGAGGTGTCACAGAATTAATATCCAACCTACTAATCTTTTGTAATTCAGCAACAAGTAAAAACTCTGCATTATCTACAAATATGAATAAATAAGTTTAATATGTAAGTCAGTTTATATATTAAGAGATGGCTGATTTTTAAAAGTTTAAAAATATATAAAAATCTGATTAAAATGCTTCTGTAAAATTTGGCAAAGATCAGCTTTTAATGCTACCGTTAGGTACATAATATCAAAAGAAAGATAACTTTTTTTTGATAAGTACCACTCAAAATAAGCATGATAGAATAAAAAAAAAACGATTTTACAATGAAGAGACAATTAGAAGTTATAATTTTACATGAGTTTTTTTTAAAATGAATATGAATACAATTATTTTTATGTATTCGCATATGAATCACAAGAAGAAAAACAAAACAATTGATACACTTTGTCATAAGAAATCTTTTAATTTTTTTGCCTTGAAAATATGAAAGTACACTCACAACATTATCACTTTTTTGAGTGAAATGTTGCTAAACTTATATAGTTGAGAATAATATTTAAGCATGTTTGAATGCTTTGTTTAAAAAAGCACATTTTAACTGAATTTTATATTTTCTACTAAAGAAACATTCATTTATCAACATTATTAAGTTTATATTTACCTTCAATAGGACAGAACTTTTTTTCTGGTTCATACAAGAAATCATTTCCTCCCTTACAAGTATCACCAGGTACTTTTCGATACCTGAAATAAAAAGTATGGTTAATATTTTAAAAATATAGCGATAAAATAATTTTGGGACTTTAAATGATGATTATAACAATGGTGATCATACATCAAACAATATACACAATCTTTTAGAGTACATAACACACTATACATCAGACATTAGCTTATCAAATTTAAAAAAAAGTCGTTCCTTAGAAAATGATTTCTCAAGGTCTATTTGTCTGATTTTGTTGAAATTTTGTATTTTGCCATTGGAAATTCTGTTATTTAATGTGATGTAAAAATTTGTATACCATAGAATATTAAATTCTTTTCAAAATTCAGTGCAAAAATTTTTCAATTCACTTGAAATGGTTTAACGGCATGGTAAAATAAGCAAAAAGTAAAATTAATATTAATGGGTTAAAACTTTTAACCACTCTCTTGACCAAATTATCGGAACTATATTTTTCAGATTGTGGCTACACCCCATGTTTTGATGGTCAAGGATCCAAATCTGTTTTCAGTTTCTGTAACAAGTAGGTTTTTACAAGATAAGATAGGGTTATTAACCCCATGCTCAAACCCTAATCCGGAGGGCTAGGGTGTTACTCTTAGCCTGGTGTCTAAGAGCATCCAGTTTTACGAGTATGCATCCTGGTCTCTAAAAGTATGCAGAAATCCTTAGAAAAGCAAAACAGAATCTAATTGAAATTTAAAACCACAAGTGGAAATAGATCAGTCACGCTCTAAGTAAACCTGAATAATTTTTAAGTAAAACAAGTTTTTGATTGGAACCCTGAGGGGAATAGGAAAAAGAGGAAGATCTTAAAATATTTGGCACAAAACACGCTGTAAAAGTGAATAGAAAAATAATAGAAAAGACATTGTGAGAGGCAAAATATCTAATAGAAGTTCTACGCTCCAATTCAGACAGAAGGGTAATGTGCATGTATCTGAACCTGTCAATAAAAAAAGGCCTACTCATAGAAGCTACATTTCGCGTCGGATTTTGTAACTTAAAATAATATCTGCAGTAATTAATTATCAACAAATAAACTTAGTCAGTTAAGCTTTATGGGTTGAATATAATTTTTTGCATAATAAAAGGCTTACCCTTTAGTGTAATTGTAAAGACCACCTGATTGACATGATTGTGGAATAGCATGTGGATCAACTTCACTTTCATTATCTCGGACACAATGACCATCAGATTCTTCTTTAAAACCAAAATCACTGAAAGGAGAATAAAGAAATTCCATCAATTTGCAAAAAATAAAAAAAACATTATAGAAAAATAAAGTTATCAATGCTTTGTAAAAATGTTTTAAAATGACAAAAACTAAACTGCTGGAGTACACTAGCCACTCCTCTTTTAAAATCATCTCATTTAACTACAATGATGATTGATTTTTAGAAATAAAAATATGGGGATTCAGCAGATGTTACCTTGTTATGAATTATTTGGTCTAATCTACTAAATTCAAAATGCAAACAGAACATTTTTAAATATTATATTAAAAAACTGCAAAAAGCAAGGCAGCCTTGTGAACTATTTCCTCACCATCTTTCTAACCTATAATAGTGTTTTTACTTTCTTATTGATTTGGTTTACCTCTACTGGCCAAAGGCAGATGCAATTTTCATACACCTTTTATTTTCATGAATGTAAAATAAACTACACACAAAAGAGTGAAATTTTAGCTGTACATATTTTCTGCAACAATAAATATGATTAGGTCAGGCTTAAAAAATGGAAAATATACCATTCATAGTCTTCTCTATCACATGGACAATTTTCAGTTTTTATCGGTCGCTCATAATCTTGTCCATTATAGCATGATGTATGAGAAATTCTTCGCTCATATATTTCTTCTTTACCTAGTAAACAAGTGCGGTTTGGAGCATGGGGACTCCACATTTTATAATCTTCAGACTGACAATCATGTTCTGAAAAATTATTAACAAATTAAATTAATGTAAGACACATACACAAATAGTTAAGCTTAAGCAGTATGTCATAACTATCAAGTAATAATATGTTAATAATGATAAGAACTAAATTAATATTTAAAATAAGTAATGTAATAAAAAGAGAATGAAGGCTTGATTTGAAGTAACACAAAATTCCTAATCATTTGTAACATTTTTTTATAAATTTAACCATATTAAATTGAATTAAATTATTAGAAAATAAATGAAATAAATTTTCACATATGGCTTTATTATCATTTACTTAAGAGATTAAATAAAAATGTAGTAACTATACGAATAGAAATGAGCAAAAGTTTTCCCTTTATATTATCTATTTTAGTTTTTAGAAATCATATGGATTTTAAATTACTTGAATTACCAGTTTAACCCCTTCCTTCTCACTCCCGTGAAAATGACGGGGTGAGATTTTGCCGGCTATTTCTCGCTCCCATGATATTGACGGGCTGGAGTGTTCAGTAGTAACGCGTCAATAAGAATAAAATTAATTCATTTCTTTTGCCCAGAAGACATTTTATTTCTCATTTTACACACCTGATGGCAGTACCAGGATATTTTTAAGGTAATTGTAGATAGTTTATTTTAAACTAGTTGCAGCACTAATCAAATACGTAATACAAAAACAAAAGCCAAAAAAAAAAAAAAAATAGGCACTTTTATGATCGTTTTCTTGAAAATTAACCGATTGTAAAGTGGTAAAATCTTAGACTTACTAATATCTGGTGATTGTGAGCCCAACTCAAAAATTCTGAAAATTTCTTGAGTGAAATCATTAGTGATGCATTTCACACAAATTAATCTCATTATAAATTTAAATCAATGATACTTTCAAAACATGAAATTCTAAATAAATTATATACAGCACAATTAAAATGAATAAATATGTATCAGTTTACTTTTATCTCTAATCACATTTAGTATTGTACCAGAAAAAATATTTACAAATGAAAGAGATGTCAAGTATAAATTCTAGTTTTAATATTTTTAAATAATATATAGGAGAATTTTTATACATAAATGTGATCAATGATTTCTTGAAACTTCTGGAGCTTGGATTTCTGGATAGCGTTAAGCAAAAAATTTGGATTTTTTCTGGAGCACAATCCTCTCCATAATATGCTGTGGTATTTACAATATATCACATAAAATAAGCACTGTATCGCAAAAGTGTCAACAGATCCTTATCCCTGCTAAAAATACATAGTGAATTAAAGAGTTTTTGTAACTTGAAATCCTTTTCATGTTTTCAACAAAACATATAGCCTACTATATTGTTTCTATTAAAAATTAATTGATATTAACAAAAATAATTAGTAAGCAAAAAATATTATTTTTAAAATAACTTACTAAACACATGGCGAAGGTCTAATTTAACCAACAGCCATTCACGATGTTCTTTATTTGAACCAAACAAAGTAAAAGTAGTTGTTTTTTCACCAGGTTCAGTCATTAAGCCATATACTCTAAATGGTTTTCCACCATTAGGTATAAATTTAACTGATTCCCAAGTTTCACCATCATCAGTTGAATACCTGTAAAAAATTTACTTTAAGCCACAGGAACTTGATTGTTAACATTTAATACAAAAAAGCCACAAATAACTTACAGAACTTCATCAGTTTCCTGATTACTGAATGATGCAACAGCAACTATGATTCCACCAAAATCTCCAACCATGTAAATATAACTTCCATAGAGAACCTAAAATTAAAACTATGAATGAGCATAGAGCAACATGTTGATGCAATTATAAACACAAAATAAATATATATTATTTCATATATATTTATTTTGTGTTTATATATCATATTTATTTAGTTTGTGCTCACACCAGCAAGCACCAGGTAATAACTTCAGCGGTTTAGAGGAATCTTTTTTTAAATTTCACAATTTAATCTCTTGAAGTTAAGTTATGAAATTAAAAAGAAAAAACCTATACACTGAGTATTTGTACTATTAAAATAATTAATTTCTTAAAAAATTAACTAAAAAAATGAAGACTTAGATTTTGAACTATGCTAAATTTCACACATACAAGTATTTTTTTAAATGCAAAAAATTTACATAATGCTTAATACAATGTTAATATAAATACTCATAGGGGAGCAAAAAAAAAAGCTTAAAGTATATCAAATAACTGAACTTTTATATTTCAATAACAATTTTAATATATGAAACTAAAAAAAAAAGAAAATGTGTTAAAATTTAGAAGAAGAAAACAATTGATAAATTTTTAAAAATAGTTTTATGTCTTAGAACAGCTAAAATTCATTTAGTTTTGCTACAAATTATTTGGATCAATTTTTGCCAAAAGAAAAAAAAAGGGTAATATTCCATTGATGACTATGGTATTCAGTCTAAAAACATGAATTCATAAAGCAAATAGAACATTTGAAAACATTTTTATAGTAGGCTTTAAGGTGAAGTCAAAAAGAATTTTTTGTCTTAATGATTAGAGAAAAACAGAATTTGTATTGATGCTAAAGATATATTTATGCTTATAAATGATTTGTGCTAATAAAATAAAACCTATAAGGTAATTATATTTTTAAAAAAAGAATAAAACCTACTTCACGCCAGGTAATTCCAGCATCAGATGAAACAAATATACTTGGATGGCCCTTTAAGGATTTGCCAACAACTCCTACAAAATAAGTAAGAATTTTCAAAACATAAAAATCAGGGTTCGTTGATTTAAATCAGCTTGATTTAAATCACGATTTAAATCATGATTTAAATCAAATGATTCTTTTAAAAAAATCATTGATTTAAATCAACAAATTTTTTTAATCTATATACATTGATTTTAAAAGTTAAAAAACAGTGTTTTAAATATTTGATACTTTTATTATTTTCTTTTCTTAGTATTAAAATTCAATTTAAATAACTTGCTGCATTAATTAATTTTGTTTACGAAATTACTTTCTTTCTTGGTGTGTGTTAAATTTCAACACATTTGAAATTACATTTTTAGAAATCTTTTGANATCTGATTCTTTTGATTTTTTTTAAAAAAATCACGAACCCTGATAAAAATACACAGTACAGTTATTTTAGAAAAAAAAAAGACTAATTAAAATTTTAATAAAAAAACTTAAGAAATAGAACTATTTTCAAATATAAAAAAAATAATGCCACATAAAAAAATAGCCAATTTTCTTTATAAGCAGCAGTTTTTAAATAAAATATTTTTCTTAAAGTACATTGCATCTTATTCATATGTGACTCTTAAATTATTCAAACCCACATTAAATACACATATTTAAAAAAAAATGCATACTCATGATGCAGTTCATTTACAAGTGACTATCAAATTATTAAAAAACTAAATTGTTGCACCTAAATTTTTAAAAATTCTACATAATAGAAAAAGTAACTTTACATTTATAATGAAAATTAATAGCTCTTAGTGCTAGATTTGAAATGTAATAAAGACTAGTTTTTATAAAAACTAATTAAGAAATAGAGAAAACACTTGTAATTAGATGATAATAGAGAGAGAGAAAAAAATGCTGCTGAAAGACAGATGCATCAAAAAATTTTTTATAATAAACTATTAAAAAAAATTAATAAAAACTTACAATCAAAATACGTGTTTCAATTTATATTCAAATCTGTATGATAAACTTTTCAATATTTTCAATATAATTTTTTGTTGTCTTTACATAAATTATTTTTAGTCGGAAAGATGTTACGTAAACAGCTTATGCTTGAATTATATTTCCTGAAGTTTATTTTTCCTGTTGTGAAAATGTTACATTCTGTCTCTCTATTTGATATGCGGCTTTCAATAAATTAAAAACACTTTTATAAATAATAATAATAATACCTGATGCAACAATTAAACCAACGGCAGATTCTTTGGTTAAAATGGGCACAGTACGAAATCGTTGATATAGCTGACTAAATTTCTGAGTCAAATGCAAGGAGCAACCATCACTCTAGAAAAATAAAACATGTTTTAATATCTTTATCAAATATTAATTTCAAAAACGAACAGAGCACACAAAAAAAAGCGGGACATCTTAATAATTTGATGTCTTTTTATGGAATTTTCAGGTGTTAATGAGCAATTTTATGGTACAAGTGCTATTATTAATAATTATATTTTAATTCATTTGTGCTGATGATACTATAAGTTAAAATCAGACAGAAAAACATACAATCTCCGAATAAACATTGCCCCCCCCCAATTAATTCAGGTTCTTTATCCTCCAAATAAATAGACAGTCATAATCAAAAAATTTGGCCGCAAAAATTTAGTCAGAAAAATAGATCAAAAGTCTGGGTCCTTTAATGTTACTTTCACTTTGAGTAATTCATTATATCTCAGGAATTTTTTAAGCAAGCCAAAACAATTTATTTATGCATTATGAATACTCCCTCATTCTCAGTATGATAGTTGATTAAAAATGATTCCATGGAAAAAATAATTTTAATAATTATTCATTAATTTATTAATTTATGTAATAGTTTTTACTGTTATCAAAGTTTACTAGCTTTATTTTTTTATTTTTAGTGAGCTATTAAATCGATATCACTAAAATTATATATGTTTTCAAAAAATAAATAAAAATTTGTATACTTTAAAATGATGTAAAAAATTATGTAACACATAATTTAATTTTCTACAACCATTATTAAGTAAAATAATAACTATTAAAAATAACTTTTTGCACAAAATTAAATTTAATTAAGTGCAAAATGTTTTTAGTTCCCTTAAAAAGATGATTCCAAGATTTGTTGAAAAAAAAAGAAAAAGAATCAAAGTGTGAAATTAACATTACAGAGCCTAAACTTTCAATTACTCTCCTTACTAAACTATGTATGTCATATTTTCAGTTATTTTTGGCATCATTAAGCAATAAAGACTACAACCATCACAAACAATTAAGGCTACATCTTAGTACATATATATCTTGTCAATAGATCAAGAGTTATTAAATTGTTCCATTTCTTTATTTTGGGCTTTGATCTAAGGTATTTGAATCCAAAATGAGTTGAAAGGAAAGAATCTTACCATTTGGCAATTTAATGGCTGTCCATTCCGATCACTCACTGGAGGCTTCAACAGATTCCACTCTCCACCTTTGTCGAAAGTAATGACAGATATTAAATTTTCCAAGTTTGAGTTATTTCCGCTACTTTTTAGTTGAGTTGCAATGTAGACACCCCTGAGTCCACGAACTTTGTGGATATCCGCAAGGCGTTCATCACTGAAAAATTTGATTAAAGCATGCAATAAAAGATTTATTAGGCAATAAATATATATTTCAAAATGCATACAATTCACAACAGTTTAAATCTGATAGGATCAACATAAATCCCTGGCCTACTAGGAGTTTGACTTGAAATTAGTTTTCACTTTAAATTAATAACAATTGCTTTTTTGACAGAGTAATCAATTTATATATGATTATCATATTCCAGCCAAATTGACAAATTATCATCTTTCAAAAATATATTTTTTTTTTGCATTGCTGTTTACATAAGTCTTTTATTGGCATAAAAACAATTGTTGAAAGCAAAAACACCTTATAGCTCATAATAATAATTTTCAACACTGCATTAAATAAGTCAGTATGAGTCAAATTAAAAATTTTTATAAACAGATACATTCAGGGTGTCTGCTACATTTTAGATTTTCAAATTCATGACTTTTCATGACTAATTCTAAGAATTTTTCATGACTTACTGAAGTTACTATTTTTTATTTTATTTCCAATGAGCTGCACAATCGGTCTTGCCGATGAGCAGACCTAGTGCGTTCTCCAGAGGTGGTATCCACTCTATCAGGACCACCACAATAGATGAGATACCGTTGGTCATGTTAATTTGGATGTCTAGTTTCTGCCACACTAGATGGCAGCACTGAGACTCTATTTGGATGCTAAAGTGCACTAGGAATTCAATTTTGCCGGAAATGCTAAGAGCCAATAAGGAACTCCAGGGATTTTTTACATGCCACATAATCATACGACATGACCGCTGAGGATTTTCTGCATCCCGAAAATCCGGTGTCTGGGTCGGGGNTTAAATAAGTCAGTATGAGTCAAATTAAAAATTTTTATAAACAGATACATTCAGGGTGTCTGCTACATTTTAGATTTTCAAATTCATGACTTTTCATGACTAATTCTAAGAATTTTTCATGACTTACTGAAGTTACTATTTTTTATTTTATTTCCAATGAGCTGCACAATCGGTCTTGCCGATGAGCAGACCTAGTGCGTTCTCCAGAGGTGGTATCCACTCTATCAGGACCACCACAATGGATGAAATACCGTTGGTCATGTTAATTTGGGCGTCTAGTTTCTGCCACACTAGATGGCAGCACTGAGACTCTATTTGGATGCTTAAGTGCACTAGGAATTCAATTTTGCCGGAAATGCTAAGAGCCAATAAGTCACTCCAGGGATTTTTTACATGCCACATAATCATACGACATGACCGCTGAGGATTTTCTGCGACCCGAAAATCCGGTGTCTGGGTCGGGTATTGAACCCGCAGACTTGGGCAAACCAACTGCGCCACCCAGTCACACGCTGAGGTTACTATTTTCTCTGACAAAAACACAACAATAAATCTCCTTTATCAGCTCAAGCATGCAGCATCAACCTTTAACCACTCCCAAAGCACTGTGGCAGAATCATGGGCAACATGGTGACATTGTCGCACAATGCAATTGAGTTGTTGCAGAAAGAAAAAAGGATTTTTCTTTTGGGAAGTTAAAAACTTAGTTTTTCTTTTTGGCAGAATTTTTCAAGACGAGTTTTGTTTTTTGCAGAATTATACTCCAAAGATACTTTTCTAGTTCATCGGTAAAGAAAGAAACACTCCCGATTTTTCTGTTCTCATCTGGGAATATAAAAAAATAATAAATAAATGAAAAAAATCTGAAAATGCAGAAGTTTACAATATAGTTTGCTCTGGAAATGCTTTTTTGTTCATTTTTTGAAATTTTATATTTTAATAAAATGTGACTGTGAGTGGGTATTTTGTCACAAATTCAGATATTCGGAACAATGTGAAATTGAGGAGAATCAATCCCATTTTAAAAATGAGATTTTTCAGAGACCTAAATCCAAGACTTTCCATGATTTTTTTTTATAAAAAAATAGTTAAAATCATGACAAATTTTGTTCAATACCGAAATCCATGACTTTCCAGGTGCACGGATACCTGCATTATGCATTTATATATCTATTAAATCAAATTTAGACTTAATAAAATAATGTATACCTTCCACCAAGGTTAATTTCAGACTTTGTGAAACTGATGTACAGAATATTTTCTAAGGATAAAGAGAACTTCATTCGTTGCACATCCGATATGTACAAATTGGTAGTCATTTCATCATCATGCATTACACAAACAAATACTTGATCATCTGAGACATCGTAGACATATATTTCCTTAAAATAATAATAAAATTATTCATATAAACAGTTAAAAGTAACTTTCAAAGCAAAACTTCAAAAAGTAAAAGCATAAATTTATTTCATGAAAATTAATGCTAATCTTTGTATTTTTCTCATTTATATGAGTTCTGGTTAATACTTTTAGAAAAATATGAGCGAATGTAAAAAAGAAGAATTGCTACTAGGATATAATCTTAAAGGTTCGATGCAAACTTTAAGCATGTTAATTAATTTGTACAGATGATATTTTAAGTTACAAAATCACTTACTTTCTCTGAATGAGCATATTTTTTCCCACATATTTTGGATTTTTGACCCTTCAATATAAAAGGGATCCACACGATGGTGTTCCCACCTTAACGTGGTGTTGTGGTTTGTGTGTGTTGTTGATCCCGAGAGCTATGCCGGCGGGAGCTTCGGCTCCTGGCAGGGTCACCCTAGCTGGACTGGTCGGAGGGGAGACATCAGACAAAGAGGAACACCCTGGTCCTCCAGGTTGGGGGTTAGGCGTGGCGCTAACAACCTCACCTTGTAAAAAAACAATTGTTGCGAGTTCTCAAAAAGCTAATATACCCGGACAGACTTCTCGGAGACGAACTGGAAAAGGATTTAAGGAACTGAGAGTAGGATCATGGAACATACGCTCTTTGTACAGGAATAAAGGACTACAAATGCTGATTGAATGGAGGATAGCAGGACAACCAAAAAGTTTTCTGTGCCAGGCCAACAGGTACAAGAAAAAGAGGACGACCAAACCTAAGATTTTTAGACTGCCTTGAAAAGGACCTACAAATTTTAAAGATAATNTCTTTATATGAGTTCTGGTTAATACTTTTAGAAAAATATGAACAAATGTAAAAAAGAAAGAACTGCTACTAGGATATAATCTTAAAGGTTCAATGAAAACTTTAAGCATGTTAGTTAATTTGTATAGATAATATTTTAAGTTACAAAATCACTTACTTTCTCTGAATGAGCATATTTTTTTCCACATATGTTGGATTTTTGACCCTTCAATATATAAGGGATCAGTCATTCAGTTCAGTAAAGAAATTAGACAAAAATTTGAGTCCCTTGTTATTTAATTTCAATTTTTGAATATTTTGGTTTATTTTTTAAACTACTTAATCCTTCAAGCATTATGTCTTTGGGTAAAATTGTACAGAAATTTTCCTCGCATAATTTTCATTGAATAACATGGGGAAAAGTGTTTTTTTCATGCAGGAAAGCCCACAGCTGAATCTGGGAAAAAAGTCAACACTAATGCAAATTAAAAAACGAAATTGCAAATTATTTTGATTAAAAATATACATGGGAATAAAATTGTTGGGTCTTCACTTAGCCTAATTATTCTCCATATTGCTACTAAAATTTATGTTCAGAGGGTCAAGAATCTCTATTCCTCAGAAAAAAGGAATGTTTACATAGTGAAAGAATCTTTTTGGGTCAGATTTTGTAACTTAAAATATTGACTCCATAAATTTAACTAAAGTTAGATTCTTGAACTATTATGATTGGATTTTAGTATGTGAAAATATGATCTAACAAGAGGTTTGATTCTTTTTAGGCGTGGTTTAGCTATTACTGAACAACAAATATTTATTAATAAGCTTCCCAATTTTAAATATTTTATAGTAAATATGATTTACTAAAATATAAACATGTTTATCTCTAAATTACAAAAACGTGAATTATCGTATTTTACCCCTGACATTTTCATAAGAAAAATTCAAATAAAATAATTAATTTTTTTTAATTTTCAGATCAACATTATTAATTTGTAGCAATAACCAATGAAAAGGTGATAGAGAAACAATATAGATTAACAATGGAATCAGTGATGAATCAAATGTGCGATTCAAAATTTCCAACATTTTTTTTTATTTTTCTAAAACAAAATGTCATTGTGTTCAGAAGCCCTCAAGCATTTTGTTGCCCCTAAGTTAAATAAATCTTTTCTTTTTATAAAAACTGTCTCTTCAGTACAACTTGTTTGATTCGGTATACCTATATCATTATGTGCCTGTTCAACAAAGATTTTTAAGATGTAAATTAAATCAACATTAAAGAAGAATTACTACCTTTCTTTCAAGATGACTAGGAAATTCAGCCATTTTGAAAGGCTGTCTGTTGATAGATACCCAAAGTTGTAACACTCCATCAGGATGTCGTGAGCCAATTAAATGCTGCATAAAAAATAGGTAAGCACAATTAGTCGGGCTAGAAAATCTAATAAAAATCAATAATTTCATTGAAAGGAGACTTTACCTGTCTACGAGCAACAAACAGGTACTTCTCCCACACTTCAAAATCTTCTATGTGGGTCATAAGTTCCTTAGTATTATTCCAAGTCTTGAAAAAATCAGAAGAGGATAACAATGTTGTATAATTGCGAGGCTCAATTCTTTCTACAAACACAGTATTTTGAGGGTCAACGCCTGGTATACCCCTAAAATGATAAAAAACTTCTTAGAGAAAGTTGTTATTCAAAATCTTTTTAAAAGCTCAAAATAAAAAATTATATAAATAAAAAATGTGTAAATTAGTTGGAAAAAAATGTTACAGATACCATGAACATTTTCTTGCTTTGATAAACAAATAAATAAATCTTCATGTATAGATCATGTAACATTTTAATTAGAGAAGCTTCTTTTAATTCATTTAAAAAAGGGCAAATAAAATTAATTTGTTGCAAAGGTTATCTTCTTAAAAAATTATTTGGTAAATAATTAGCAAAAGTTGTTAAATTCTTGCTTTCATTATGAGCAAAATTTCTAGTAGAAGCTTTAAAATTAAACACATTTTTTAAAATAATAGGTGGATTTATGCAACATTTGAAATTTTTTTTACCTATAATGATGTTAAAAAAGTATAATAAACATATACATCTACTATTTAATATATAATTTGTCTGAAAACTATTATTTCTTGCATTGAATTGAATACATGCTTATGCACACAGAAATGTTCCTTCAACCTAGAATTTAATAACAAAACATTTGTAATTTGGGGGTCTTGATAACTCATTTTTTTAGATCCATTCAGCTTATAACTTAATTAATTTAATTTAATTTTATAAAGAAAAGCGAAATAAGAGATGAAAACTGATGAAAATAAATGCAATGAAAAGAAAAGCAGTGGTGTCTCACATACATAAATAGTGTAGAATGCAAATAATAATTTTTAATTTACAATAAAAATATTTATTATTTTCAAAATCAAAATAGACTACACAAATGAGACTTAGAATCTTGCTTTAAACAGAAAAAATCATTTAATTATGCTAAATCCCAGTAGCACAATACAATAAATTATGTATTTAAGTGTCAGACATAAAATATCAAAAGTGTGCATCTTCATAGTTTTTTTTTTTTTGTAAATCATCTTCATAATTTTTTTTTTAAATGTTTTTACACATTTGTGCAGGATAACCTGTTTTGTTACAGTTTACTGTAATTAATATTTACTTCATTTTCTATTATTAGCGTAAATTTAAAAAAAAAAAAAAAAAAAAAAAAGTGTATTAANAAAAAAAAAAAAAAAAACTGTACTTGTTAAAGATTTACTTACTTCAGTGAAAAATTTAAAATGATGTAGCCCTTTATTTAACAGTCTATAATAATTGAAAACAGGGAAATGAAAACAGTGAATGAATTGAAAACAGTAATTGAAATAAGTTAAAGTCATTATTTCTAAATTTTTAGTTTTTTAACTTGAAAATACCTTATTTGTTTAAAAATTTTAAGTTAAAAACTTTGGTGGTTTGGTTGTCTTTACCATGGAATTGCCTAACTAGAAACTTGCACCTGTACAGTGCAGAACAAAAAAATTTTTTTCGTTTTCCTTCTTCCTAATAAATACATGAATAATTTTTTTCCCCATACAAATATAATTTCCCCACTATTCCTTAGTTTCTGCGAGCTTTTTAGGATCTCCCTTTTTAGAGTAAAAGGAGAGAAACAGTTTCAGAAATATCATCTCAGGAATACAAGTAACAACAACAAACTTTTGACACTATGATAACACAATTCGAATTTTAAATCAAAAATCAAATATTTAGCAACAAAACAGTAATATTAAATGTTAACTTATAGTTGGTTCATAGAAGAAACTTTTTCAAAAATAATATTCATATGTTATAAAAGGTTAAACGGAAATCCAGAAAACTGGCACCAATGCAACAATTTGTCGACTAACATTGCTGTTAGCGATTGTAAGAAAATGAGTGATTGGTAGGCTTTGCTGAGAAAATAAAATTCACAAATTTCACTAGATAAGAGTACAAGTTTTCAACAAAAAAAAAAAGAAGGAAAGAAAGAGTGTAATATATAATATATTATTAAATTATAACCAATTAATATTTGGAGAATTTTATAAAGTTAAAAATACTAAAACATTTTGAATAATTTTGTCAAAAGAGAGAAAAAAAAACCAAAACATTAAACAAACTCGAACGATAAATGGATTCTGCCCACGAACTAGAAGGAAAAAAAGAAGAAAAAACTACAAAAGCAAATATCCTTCCTTCTTCCACCTCCACCACAATCTTTGCCTCTCCTAAAACGCACATTCCCATAGTTTCTTCATTCATTTAGCAACCTTGGGCATTCTAGTTTAGCAGGCTATTAATGGAGCAAATTTTAATGCAAGCATATTGCTCAGTTGATGATATTTCAACTGTTTGGCGATAAATTTCCGTCTAAAAAAAGTGGGTATGGCAAAATAACTTAAATTTAAAAAAATCTAGTTTTTCTTTAAAATTCCCTGATTTTTCCAGGTTTTTATCTAAATTTCCCTGATAATTCCAGGTTTTGAAGGTGGGTGGCCACCATGAAATTGCATAGCCATTATTATAAAAAACAAGTAAAAACTTCCAAATTCCAAATTATTATAATTAACGATAAATTGAATAAAAGATGTAAATGAATTACAAGGATTGAAATCTTACCAATAGAATGCTTTCACTTGCAGTTGGATCACAATCCATGAAGAACCAAAATCTTCTGACAACCATAACTAGATGCAAATAAAAGAAATTAAAAAAGTTACCTAACAAAGAAATGTAATTTCAACACGTAAAAGAATGGAGTTAAGTAAATAGTAGATACCCTCAATGCTTAATTTATGCAGGTTGAACAAAATACTAATACTCAACCATAATAATTATATGTAAAGAATGTGTGAAACCTCAAACTGAATAATTCAATGATAAAAACACAGTTAATTTAATCAAATAAAAAAGTCTGATACTGTACAGATCTTATACTGTAGTTATAAACCTAAATATTTGATAAAATAACACACTCTTTTTTCCAAGTCCTAAATGATCTACCTTCTTTTGGCAGAACCTTGAGACTATTTATTAGCAATTATGAACCCCTTAAAGAAAGATTATGAATTATTTTGAAAATATTTAGTGAATAAATGAAAAATAAATTTTTCTAACACATTGTTTTATCAATATTAGTCTTAAAATTGGGTTCTGTGTCAGTCAAAAATCACAGGTGTAGAGCGAAGTCAAGTTTAGTTTTTAATTTGATTTTAGAGTATGCATAAACTCAAATTGAATGAGCAGAAATATGATTTCAGTCATAATAGAAACAAAAAGGACAAAAATAAATGCTGAGAATGGCTATCAAAGAAACAGACTTATTTGAATTAGGTTATTCTTATTTGAAATGCATATCCTTTTCATAATTCATTCATTACATTGTTATTAGAAAAAACATTGCTTTGAGTTCTTTTTCTTCATACGCATTTTAATTAAATAATTTCACAAAAATAACGGAAATGTTAAATACATAATGGTAATTAATCAGGGATGAGATTAGCCAAAAGGCAAAAAAGCTGAATTTCCACGATAGTAAATTTTACGCAAGCGCAACCCTATAATGATGATGAATTCCAGACAGTTTAAGGTAATAAATAATGTGTTGACATACAATTGCATACTAATCTATTATTATATAAATGATTACATTGATACTTNATTGTGATGAATTATATATATATATATTTCATTTTTAACTTTCTACTCAATATTTTATTTCGAGCCAAGTGTTACTGCCGGATAATCATAATATCCGGCCATAACCGGATATCCGGCCATAACCGGATATCCGGCCTACTAGCCGGATCGGCCGGATAGATACTGCCTACCGGATATCAGTTGCATCTCTAGTTCTGTGTCAGTCAAAAATCACGGGTGTAGAGCGGAGTCAAGTTTAGTTTTTAATTTAATTTTAAAGTACGCATAAACTCAAATTGAGTGAGCAGTAATTTGATTTCAGTCATAATAAAAATGAAAAAGGACAAAAATAAATGCTGAGAATGGTTATCAAAGAAACATATTTATTTATTTTTGAATTTGGTTATTCTTATTTGAAATGCATATCCTTTTCATAATTCATTCCTTATATCGTTATTAGAAAAAATATTGCTTTGAGTTCTTTTTCTTCTTCATAAGCATTTTAATGAAATAATTTCATAAAAATAACGGAAATATTAAATATATAATGGCAATTAACTGAATACAAATTGAGTTATAGGTTTCAAAAGTCATAGCTTAATAAAAAGAAATCCTAACGCTCGGCACCTCTGTGACCCCCGGAACCTTAGGATTCCGCAGTACACCACTTAGGAACCACTGTCATACCCCATCAAAACATGTTGCTACCCCCCCCCAAAATACAACCAGCCACTGTCAAACACATAGCCCCTTTTTTCAAGGTTCCATCTTTTAATAACCCTGTAGAAATAACTGCATAATTTTGAAATTATTGAGATGATGTGGTTAGTGCCTGAGCTGGTAGCTTTCTCTGCTTTAACGGGAGGATTGCTGGTTATGAGAGATTTATCCTGTAACTTGCATATATAAGCTTAATGTATGGTTGGTCACAAGAATCTAACCTAAGATCTTCAGCTTTAAAGGGCAGGGGCACAAGAGATACCTTAACTAAATGTATCACCATGCCATTAGGTAGAATTTTTCATCATGTGCAATTTTTCTACTTTTTATATCTCCCAATAGATGCATTATTAATGTGTTTTTTTAATTGTTATAATTCCACAAGCTAGTATAAATAAATGCAAAAAGCTAAAGTTTTATAATTCGATAAGTGTTAATATATGATTTTTTCCTAGCCATTTTATCTTAATTCACTTACGTTAGGTCTGATTTAGGTCAGTAAAAAAGAGATCTATAATGCCGTGAATGGAATAATAATTCATGAAATTACATTTCAGAATGCAAACTTTAAATGAAAAAAAAAAAAAAAAAACANAAAAAAAAAAAAAAAAAAAAAAAAAAAAAAAAAAAAAAAAAAAAAAAAAAAACACAAATTACCTGCTTTAATGGGTCAGATTTACTCATTCCTAAAATAATTTCAGACCTGGTAGGATGCATAGTAATAAGATCCGGGGTAAATGAGACAGAATGCTTCTCAAATGTCTTCCCATAATCTCTTGTTGAAAAAATATAGTCATGAATGACGTCAGTAAATATATACTAAAATGACAAAAACAATAAATTAGACATTAGAAATGGTAAATGACTACATTAATGAATTTTAAAATACATAAAATAATAATATACTAATAGCCTGTGAAAATTGAAAATAAACTAACAAAATTATAAAATTTAAATATTACAGACATACATATTGTAAAAATTGAGAGAATACTTCTTACTTTAAAGTTATAAAAATGGTGAATAATATGTTTTTGTAATAGGTAGTTGTAAAACATAGTAATAAATAACATTGAATAAAACATCCTCGTGTTAACAAAATTGAAAAGCTTAATGGGTGAAGATTCTAAAAAAAATTAAAATTTCTCAAGAAATGACCTTAGTTTAGTCTTTACAATATACAGGTCCCAATGGTTCAAGAAAATAAGAAAAAATTTTTTAAATGGCCAGGTTTTAATCGAAATCGTCGAAACTGATTTTGGCCAGGACACTGGATAAAAGTGGTTTACATCATAAGTGGTAAAAAAATGTCAGAACTATTATAAATAGTCTTAATTTTTCTATTTATTTTTTGTTATTTATATATTTATTATTTCTCATCACCAAAAATTGGATATTCCTCTATCTAAATTGCCAACACAATAGTAATCTATAATAATTCAATTTATTAGGTTATCTTAAGTGATAATTTAAGTAGTGTTAAATAATTAAATATACATTAAGTATTTGTTTAAATTAATTTTATTAGGTTGTCTTAAATAATAATTTAAGAAGTGTTTAATAATTAATTAAAGGTTAAGCATTTACTTAGATTCATTTTGTTAGGTTATAGATTAGGCAGTTAATTGATAACAGTTAAGTGATAGATTAGGCAGTGCAAATTATTCATTAGGCACTTTTTCACTTCACTGCCGCAGGAAATAAAGTCGTTAATGCAAAGTTACCGGGTGAAAATAAATTCAACTGTTTTTTTTTTACTTAAAAAAAAAAGAGAATATTTTAGGTGATGGCTATTTAAAAAAAAACGAAAACATAATGATAATGAAAATACATAAATAAAACTACTGAGTTTACTTGCTCCAGTGAAATGGAAAAGTACCAACCAATACATGTTACAATAGTTATTTAGAATAATTTTATATTTTTAAAGAAATAAAAACTTTGTCATCAAGTAATTATTTAGATTAATTTCTGATACTTTTTGAAATGAACTGAAATTTTTAACACAAACTGTGCTAAAAACATAAACACAGTAAAAAAACATAAAACATGAGTTAATTTGATGAATTCTCATTACACCTAATGAACTACTGTGTCAGTTCATGCACTAGAATGGCTTAATTTTCTACAGTTACCATTTAAACACTAACAGGGTCCTCTCTAGAAATAAAATTCCTGGATAGAATCAGATTTTATAGAAAAATCTCCAAATTTTAGATTCCATTTTTGTTAAACTATTTTCTATAATTCCTTAGAAATATTTTTTTGACAACAAACAATTAAACTTACTGTTTGTTAGAAAATTTGTCAAATATTACATTTTAGATTGAGTTGTAATTTGTAGATTTTATAATTCATATATTTAAATCATTACATTATATTGCACAAAGATTTGAAAACTTTAAAAAGTCATTGCAAGATAACATATTAATTAATATAATATATTACATACGTCTTATTATATTTTTGAATGTCATAGAACAGCGGAGTTTACAACAACGAGCCAAGCTCAATTTTGAATTTATGACTACCAATGGTCGTTCAACTTCGTTGCCTTGTAATTTTGAACCCAAAAGAACTCCAGGATCAAGTACTGGGATAAATTTTGCCCTTGTGGCAGATTTTTTGATGGAACTAACCTACATTTGCATTACATAGAGAGGAAAACCATGAAAACCTCTCACTGTTGGACTGATAGCAAGGAAACTCAAGCCCAAATCCAGTTTGATTCTAACACAGTTCACCTCAGCGATAGGGGAATGCTCAATTCCCTAAGCAACCACAGCTCTTGCATCAGTCATAACAAATTTTACCATCATTAAAAACCAAAATTAGTTTATATGGTAAAGTTAGGATTTTTTTAATCAAGCAATTATTACCAGCATAGAGGAAAATATTTCTGAATTGTAAAAATTCAAACAATTAATTGTTAAATGAAGAGTATTTTGTTTAAATTAATATAATCTAAGAAAAATTAACCAGGTTAAAACAGAATTTCTACAAGAAATAAAAATAATAGAAGTTCTCATTTATTTTGAATCTTAGTGGCAACAAATTGTTATCATGAATTTTAAGACTAATTATTTTGCAGGTCTGTTGTAGGATTTTTCTACACATAGGCTATAAAAGTGCAATTTTTCCAAATCAAATTCCTCGATTATTTCATATTTTGTTGGCAAAGTGGGCAACCTATTTAAAACTATCTTACTTGAACACAGTCAGCTCTTTAATTATAAAATTGGGAGACAATATCAAAAAAATTGCTACACAATACAAAGAATTTTTATGGAAATAAAGAAAATTTAGTCATAAAAATTTAATTTCAAGGAAAAACTTGTTAAACCTATAATAGAGTCAGACCTCGATATAAGGTCATCCGCATATAAGGTCACTTTTTCAAAGTCCCGGCTTACTGAACAAGAATTCTTTGTTACAGATTATCGGATATATGGTCAAGATTTAAAAATCATTATCGCTTATAAGGTCATTTCTATCTGAGGCGTAGCATGGTGTCCACCACATGCATAGCAAATTGTTTTCGCCATGCTGGTTTTGGGAGTTCTCTGAATACTATGGATGACGAAACCGAAGAAGACAATATTCCTCTATCTGTTCTGATGGAAGATTTGAAAAATCGTGGCCATGCCTATGAAGAGGAAGCTGAATATGGTTTGATTGATAAGGAAATTGCCTCTACTTCTGAAGCTACGATTTCTGAAATTGTTTCACAAGTTGTTGACAGTGATCCTGAGACTGTAGCTGTAACCCAACGGAAAGCCTTCAATGCAATAAATGCCATACGAATTTTTTTTACAAACCATGAGGGAGCTGAGGAACATTTTGAGAAGTTACAAAATCTAGAAAACATTGTTCGAAAAATGAAACCAAAAACGAGACAGACCTGCATAAATGATTATTTTAAATAAGGTAAGATGTAATGTATGTATGTACACTTTGAGGAAATTTGTAAACAGCTTTATTTTAAATAAAAAAAAAATTTAAAATCTAACTTTCTTTAATTCTCTACTAATTCTGTTAAAATTTATTGACTTAAATATTTAATTTACGGCCGATCGTTTTCGTTTGTCTTGCCATTTCTAAAAAATCCTAATGTGTACTATTTACGTGCTTAGTTATGAACTGCTAATGAATTGGTTAAAAGGTCACCCCGCTTATAAGGTCACTTTTGCGATGTCCCTTAGGGTGACCTTATATCAAGGTCTGACTGTATTGTGATTTTCAAATTTTTTTCTTATAATCAGATATGACTGTGTGTCGTATAAAGTTAAAAAATAGAATTTGTAATTAAGTAAATAGACTTACATGACTGTTAAGTACTGGACTAATGTAGAACATAGATATTATAGCTGGTTTATTATCAGATATCCTCATGAATTGTGACTGCTTTTCAACAAATGTCTTCCCATAATCATACGAAAAGAAAACGCTTGAATTAGAATGATCATCTTGATTTCTATTTCTAGCCAAACAAATTAGGACATCACTTCCTTTTCCAGCCCAATGAACAGATAGTCGTTCATGACTATCATTTAGATGAAACTAGGTTAAAAATATTACAGTTAGATATATATACATACAAAACAATAAAAATAAAATATTAACTTTCTTTTGTTACTATCAGCTATGCTTAGTAAAAAAAGAAAATTACAGACTTTAACACAAGTACATATTTTGAACTAAAGATCAAAACTTAGTTTTTTTACAATGGATGATGGGCTTTACACAATGAAATTAATGATTCTAGAAATTTCTCTAAACCTTATAAAAGCTAAAAACACTCGTCAGGAAAGTTTTCAGTATCAGTAGTACCTAGTTTTGGTGACAACGAGGTAGGGCAGCGGCACCCAAATAGTTAGGAAGATTTATGTATCCGTACCTGTGCCAGTGTTTTCACTACAGCGCGAGAATCTTGCATATTTTTTTCTTTTCTTACATCAAAAAATTATTACTGCGAGAAATTCGCACATTCTATAAATCAATTTCAAAATTCGCGAATTTCTCACATTTTGGAAAAATCTTCGAATTATGCCATTTAGAATAAAATCAGTTTCACTTTTCTTCCTGGATCTTTCATTATTTTCAACATCTGCCTCGTTATCCGGCTTCCCTATTTACCAGCATTGTTCAGAACCTTTTCGAACAACAGAACACAACCACGGAATCACTTTCAGAACATATTTCTAGTTTACCGTAGGTAAGGTTTCTTCATGTAAGACGTTCAAATTTATTATTAAGATGGACAAATACCTTGTAAAGGCAAAATCTTCTATGATGATGCATCAAAAATATTCAATACTTTAAGAAATAGAAGACGTTAAAAATGTATTATAATTAAAGAAATGATTTTTTTTCAAGAGTTTTTGTGTTTTTTTAGTTTTTAGAAATCTCACTTAAATTTTTGAAATCTCACCCTGTTTTTGAGAAAGGGTGAGGACTTCTCAACCATTTTTTTTTCTATGATGAAAACACTGTGTGCCAAAAAAAGTTGAATATTTTAGGTGATAATGAGACATTAGTACAAGGGAAAATTAAATATCATGAAGTGACAAACTTGAAGGGGATCTATAACTTATAGCGAACACTGGGCAAACAATTAAACATTTCTTGAAAAAATTTGAAAATAAAAAAACCTTTGGCAGTTGTAGTTGTCATGAACAGGGAACCATACAAAACCTGTTCACGCCAATCATGATAACTTGTTGCGTGCTTTAGCAATTTTAGTAGGGTGCAATCGAAATTAAAATGAAAATATCACCACTGGTTTTGAGAGTGTTTTTATTGGTAATGAAAATAATAATGAAACTTAATTTTAACACTAAACTGTTTATAGCGAATTATAAATTCATTCATTACAATGACATTACATCAATAAATGGGACCTTATGTTAATTGACAATGCAATGGAAGAATTGCTCTAAGGGGTTGTACTAAATGGGAGTAGATTTCTGTATCAAGATCAACCGTAGAATAATCGACAAGTCACGGCAACTTTTGTGCAGCGGCTCACGAGAAACTAAAAATACATCATAGAAACGGAACAACGTATTTTTTAAAAATTTTTTTGCCAGTTCAACATCTATTTGGCACCTTGGCAATTGCAGTTGGAGTGTCAGATCATGATACGAAAATATCCCCCTAAATGGAATAGACTGTATTAATATACAAATTAGTATTGAAAAATTATATTTTGCCATTAATGTGATAAAATCCCTTCTACTGATTGGTAAAAGCTCAGTTATAGCATAAGATAAGCAATAATAATTTTTGTGAATGTATTTTTAAATGTTTTACTGATTTTTCTGCAGAAAAAAAAGTCAAGCAAATCGGAGTTTCACTTTGATATTAGTGGTGCAAAGTTGCGAAAATTAAGAAATAATTTAGCAAGGTAAAAAAAGTGGTGTCGTAAACGGGCAACAAATATGTACCGCATATTAACATACACGAACTATTGATGATTAAAAGGGCTCAAGTTGCTTAGAATAAACAAATGTTGAAATATTTTAGAGCAACCTTTTAAGTAAGATTTAGAAGTAGCGACATTAGTCCAAACTTAAATTGACTGAAGTAGTTTATATTGTGCATACTTATTGTAAGAATGCAAAGCAAAACAAATATATCTGAGCAGAGTTTATTATGCTTCATATTGTTCAGTACTACCCAATTAACAAAAAACTGCAAGAACTTACGATTGATGAAAAATTTGTACTTAAAGATGGTTTAGCAGATGATACAATACTCCGTTTAATACGATTTTCGGTAAAATCTTTATTCTCATGAACAGGATCTGAAATTTGGTAAAAATCGCTGCGCAATTCATTTGAATTGGATCTATATCTAAATAAAACTTTGGAAGGCTGACCAAAACGCTGGCATTTAATAAAATTTAGAGAACAAAGAAATAAGAGCCATAGTAATCCGAGAAATTTTGTCATGATTTATTTGATATCAATTAAATTTCATGATCATAGAACTTGTTTACAGTTTCCGAATCAAGTATGTTGCCACCTTAGACCACAGGTTGCCACAATTTATTTTTAATAACCAGAATTCGCTAATGTTGCCACAAATTGCTTTAAAAAATTCAATGAAGTATAAAAATAACTTTAACTTAAACTCAAAATAGTTGTCGAAATAATAAATATGATATGATAAGTTATAATGCAATGTGCAAGTATAAAACGCAGAGCACGTCCATACAGATCCAAAGATGGGCCCTAAGGGCAGCACTAATTTGGGACTCCTATTCCACGTAAACGAACTTTTCATGTCCATTTTAATCCAAATTTCACGTACATTTAACAAAACGTTTAAAGAACATATTGATATGAAAATGTTATTTCTGTATGCATTGATTGACTTTTGAATCCTTTAAATGCTAAATTCAATTTTCTCTTCCCTAGCACGTAGCAGTTCAGTTTTGCAAATAAAGTTATGAGTTACAATCACGTATTCTATATAAAGATATCATGCCCCGCTTTGAACTTCGAGATGGTTATGCCCATTAAATTGTAAAATTTATTTTTAATTTTTAATTGCATCATAGCATAATTTTACAAACAAAAAAACGGATCTTTTTAATCAGGGGAATCGATGTTAATATGCATTTTATATAAATATAAGAAAAAATTTCTTCCTATCTTTCCTTTTTCTCTTCAAAGATACTTTTAAAGTTAACATCTATGTTCGGCGAAATACTAATTTCTCCATTTGAGAAAAAGAATGAATCCATCGGCTTAATATATAAAATTCAAGTAATATAGTTAAAAAAATTTCAATTATACTTCACTTTACATATTTCAAGTTTGTGTCCGAGAAACGAATATTGACTAACTTACATTTAAGAAAAATTGTCAGATATGACTGCTGTTTGTCTGCTTATGTTGTCCTCTCTCTGCAGAGCTGAAAGCACACTTTCCACCCAGATTTCTGTTTCGCTCTGAGGCTGCAATGACTAATCTTTCACATAGTTAATTAATTATTGCTTACCACATATCAATGCGAAACATTCTTTCCTCTACGATTTAAATTTACTTTTGCTTTAATAAATAAGAAATTTAAGTCACAAAGGATAGACCCAAAAAATTAAAGAGGTGAGAGACCAAATTTTGAAAAATACGAGTTTTCTTTTATTTCTCTGGAACTATTTGGAAAATTCTGCTCAAATTTTTTATTTTGTCACTTAAAATGGTATTCTTTCATTGAAAAATTGTATACCTTAGTTTTTCACCTATCATTAAATAAAATAATAAAAAAATAATGAATATTTACTAAAAGTTGCATTTTGCATGAAATTATCTTTAGAAAAACGAATTTTATAATTATATGCAAAACTTTTTAAATTCGCTTAAAATTTGGGATATAGGGAAATACGTAAAAACTAAAGTTAATCTTATAGTTGACCTTAGTTTAAAAGCTTTGAACCACGCCCCTGAACAAACTATTAAAATAATGTTTCCAGGTAGCAGCGACGTTATTTTGGGGGTCAGAAATGCGAATTCTACGAAAAAAGGTATGTTTAATCAGAGAAAATACGTTTTTGTGTCTAATTTCCTAATTTAAAATATCATTTGCACTAATTAGTATATTTGACGTTACCCTCTCGACCCGTTCAAGAACCTTTGCTGTCGTGCCCCTAAATGTTGTTTTTTTCCTTTTTACACGAGATCCACACCTAACTTTGTTGGACTGGTTTACATTATGCCAATGAAAGCTAGACTTCTCCCCTATGTATATTTAATTAGACTGTCTGGTAACAAACCCAAAGGTCTCTCGTTCGATCCCATTCTGCCCGAAAGAAAATCGTTTCATCTCTCCTCTGCATAGGTAATTCCGGGCAATAAGCACGCAACTCTAATTACTCAACAGATGATACTCCTTCCTTCTTCGCCTCGTCCCACAGTTTATTTTGACACACCAATTACAACTGTCCGGCTTACAAGCATTGTCAAAGTAAGGAATATAGAAAGGCGAAGAATTCCAACTCTTAGAATACGCAACTAGCTCGGGGAACTGTTTGGTTAGGCATGTTATATCAGAAGAGCAACTTATAGGGTGAGCAACATATTCAAATTTAACAGAACATCATACCTTCAAAGATCCAGAGCATGAGCTTCAGAAGCAAAGTGACTGCCAGTAAGTACGTCACCTGTGAATCGGTTATTGGGCATTTCCAAATGTATGGTTGGGTACTCTGCCTCCCGCCAACCGTCGTTTTATTCTTTCTTTTTATGTCAAAATGTGTTAGCAGATTTAATCAACATCGATGATACGAGAGCTATTTTTTTTCAAGGTCCGATTGGTCGCTAAGAGAAAATCACAGTCAGAATCAAGAAAATTTTATATGGAACAATGTGATACAACATTAAGATACTATTCGGCGTAATCACCGTTCCGATTCATACATTTGTCGTAGCGTGGTATCAATTTTCCAATGCCTTCATCATAGAATGCAGCCGCCAGTGTTTTCAGCCAATTCTGTACGCTGGTTTGCAGCTCGCTGTCTGTGGCGAAAGTTTGTCCTCCTAGTCAGCTATTCTTCAGTTTCGCAATGGACCCATGTCTCATCTCCTGTGACAATTTTGTCCAAAAACTCATCTCCGTCGTGATGGTAGCGCTGGGGGAAGGTTAATGCGGCGCCCATTCGTTGAGTTTTGTGATGGTCAGACAGCATCTTGGGAACCCATCTCGCGTAGAGTTTGCGGTACTCGAGTCTTTTACTCACAATGGTATAGAGAGCTGACAGTGATTTCGGAATCATTCGCTCAACCTAGAAATTGTGAACCGACGATTTCCGCGAATCGTCTGATCCAAGCGCTGAACAAGATCATCGGTTGACACTGACTTCCCTCCCTGGCCGCCAGCATCATGAACATTTGTGCGTCCAGCATCAAAGTTCCTGCACCATTTCCGCACATTGCTATTACTCATGAACGCTTCTCCGTACTCTTTACTCATTCGTCTATGAATTTCAGCTGCATTGCTTCCTTCAGCTTGCAGAAATCTAATGACTGAACGCAATTCATATTTGGTGGGAGACTCTATTTTTCGAAGCATGTCTATGTGCTCCATACGTACTCAAAAATGACAACCGTTAATCCACGCTTTACCCTGGCCAACTAAAGACACAGCGCAAGACGTTTGCCCACAAACTTACCGGATTTTCCCTGAAGTTTAAGCGACCAATCGGACCTTGAAAAAAAATAACCCTCGTATAAATGGTTTCTCAAAGGAATATCTAAATTAACAGTACAGCACTGTTGATCAATGGTGTAAAAATGTAGAGCAGACCAATAATAAATAAAAAGATAACAATTTTCTTCTTCTCCCTAACCCTAGTAGTGGTTTGCAGGAGAGGAGGGTGGAAACCTGTTTCAAGAGCTTCAGCTGCCGTGCTTTTAAACACTGTTTTTTTTGTTCACTGTTCCATGTTTTACAAACAGAGATCACACCAAAATTTGGGGGAATGGTTCACATTATACATACGAAAGCTAGCCTTCTTACCCTTTGTATATTCTTTGGTCAAGGCACGAACTGCATTTGACTAGCCATTGCGCTTCTGGCCACACGTAACTGTTTAATCTCATGAAACGCCTACGGCTGACAACGAACCACACTTTCTCGTTTTCTGGAGAGGGAATTTGAAGAGAGGCAACTCAATAAAAGTTATTTAACCTATTTGGAATTGTTCATCCTTTTTCATGGTGGTTTCAAGTGTTCCTCTACCCTGGTTCGATCTCAGTCATCTCCAAAGAACCCGGGAGTTGCAATTTTAGAGGGCTACTAAATTAAAATACACAGTCATAATAGTTCTATAAATTTTACACGTAAGAAAAAATGTTCTGCTAAATATCTGCAAAATGATTAATTTTTCAAAATCCCTTTCTTGTTTTTAACTCAAATGAATTTAAATGGACGATGATTAATGAAAATTTTCTGGATTTCTGGGAAGGGGAGACTCTCAGTGATTTCGAATTGTTGAAGAGGATATATACCTACCAACGACGCCCATTTGATGGAACGTCTCTCTTGTATTCCTTCATAATTACTTTTCAAGAGCCTGCTCATAGTTTTCGTATTTGATGAATACGTTATATTATGAATGGATATATTCGCAGGGAATGAATATATTTATAAGGAATTTTGAACATGTCTGACTTTTTGATTTTTTTTTCAATTTTAAATCATGTTTTTTTGAGATTTGCGTTTCGAACGAATAATAAAAAAAAAAGCTTTAAACGAAAATCTGTCGTAAAGAATTTCCTTCGTGGCAGATCTGAATTTTCCTCTTGAAAAAGAAAAAAATTCAACTAAGAATCTACCCATTAATATAAAACACAGTAAGAAAAAGCATACTTTCATAAGACAAAGCAGAATAACTTCAGCTTATTGTAGTTATAAATCACCCATTACTTTCAATTTATCATTCTACTTTTCTTAAAACAACATTTTCGTTTGATAACTGTCACAATCAGGAACACTTACGACATTCAAAACACTTAATTAAATATTTGCTTTGATTTCTTCTGTCATAAAAAAGCAACCTCAGCTATGTAATTAAAGCGGAAAATAATTTATTGAGGTGTAAATACAAAAAAGAGTTTGTGAATGTACCTTTCATTAATAAGCGTTACCATGCCAAAACGATTTGTATCTTTTGAGGGAAAGAATTGCACAATTAGAATAATAAGTTTTTCCCCAGCTAAATTACAATTATTTGGTTGCGATTGTATTCCTAGATAAGAGTTAAATTTATCTATGTTGCATACGAAGTTTATAAAGTTATTTTTTTTTTATTAACCTTTTAAACAAAATTTGCTATTATACTTTCTCTTATAATGATGGAAATTTCCTATTTTTTTCACATAATGGCTGTCATTAATTCTGAAAAATGATATTTATTTTTGCACCTACCGATAGCACAATAAAGCAAAATCATTTTCTTTTTTCGAGATTGAGGAGTAAACTTAAAGAGTGCTGAATAGTTAAAATATTTGTAAAGAAAAATCAATATCAACAGTATTTTTATTGTCCAA